GACGACTGCTCAAGCCAAAAATCTCCCTAGATCAGGTTTCCTAATGCAGTAAAAGAGCAAACCCAATTTTTTTTTTGAAAACGAGATATTGTCAATCACTCGAGCATCACAGGACGAATTTTTCAAATATCTTGCACTTCAGAGTATCATATTACATGAAGTTGCACTATTATTCAAAGCAACTGTTGAGAGCAGTGAAGAAAAATCATAACACTCAAATTAGCACATCTTCATCTACAGTACGACTTTTGAAGTAACTATAATGGTCAGGTAGATGACTTTTTCGTAATCAAAACACAAAAAGGGGATTCCTCGCGGTCTCTGCTTGTGGAAAGCAAATAATGTAAGGAGGAAAAAACGTTCGCTTGGATCTAGAACTGTAGATATTTAGAAATTTATAGCATAAGATGTATGGTCTGCAAGATGTACGTAAAAATCTAAAGTCTGACAGGCAGTATGTAGTGTGCTAGAATAATTTTCTATTGTTCAAATCGTCGCTTTGTTACCTACTTAAACATAATTTTCAATGTATTCTAATTTTTAATAATTTGCTGTACAACTTCAGCCCAAAGTGAACTTTTATGTCTTGGGGATGCAATACTACGAAGCAATTTTAAACGTTTTTTGACGGCATGGATTGAAGATGATTCATGGTTGTTACAGTTATAGTTCATTATGCCCTGTCAAAGTTCTAAATCGTAACTTTTCAAGAATGATGACCATAGTAAAGTAATGGTAAAGCTCTCACCGTGACATACGTCTCATTCTCATTGCCATTATTGCAGCAAACAGATTTGAACGTAACAGCTTGAAAACAGTAGCCAAATGTGATCTGAATGAGGGCGGGCTCTTCGAAGCGATGCCGATCACCCGCTTACGTAGGGCTCCGTGTGAAACACTCTGCTCAAGTGTCTGCTTCGGTGCACTTCAGGTGCAAATTCTGATAAGATTGCTTGAAATTTCACACCTACGGTTTGGGTACATTTCTCACGTCTACACTAAATGTAATTGATACACCGCAGTACTTACTATTAGGTTGTTTCACAAGTAAACTCCATTTTCGATAAATTCAGCTGTTTTTGTTTCCCTAGAATACTTAGGTTCTACCATCCATAGAATGGAGCAAGCTCCACAAAAAGACCACTAAAATCCACCTAAGTCTATTTCAGGTAAAAGTTGGAGCCAAAAAACAAAATTTTTCAGCTACCCTAAAAATCGGATCCTTTTCAAGAAAATTCCTACGGACTTCCAACTTGGTCTTCACATATGTAGTAACCAAAAATGTGTTCAGTGGTTTCCGAGGCTCAATATTGAGAAACAAAGATGGTCCGCAAATACCAAAATACTTTTTTCTGTGTCATGTACAACTTGGTATTTCTTGATTAAAAAAGCACATACAGCATTTTTAATGGGAAAATGATACTGCAAAAAATGGAATCGGTTGAATGGTCCTTGCTAGGTAAAAAATTGCTTTTAAGTAGTGCATTTCGAATAACTAACAATGAAGAAACTTATCCGTTCGATTTAGGCCATGAGGATGTGAATTTAAGGAGTCTTTTTTCAGAGATTCATGAAAAATTAAAAACTCGGATGCCCATCAACAATCTACTCGGTAGAGCTGAATGCTATGAAATTGCAAAAAACTGTGACTCGTTTCATACGGGATTTACTAATAGAATAAAAGTAAGTATGCAGGCAAGTGCAGTTGAAAAGTTTCAAGACCATGCGATAAGTTCCGTCTTGAACTTGCATACTGTGGTAAAAATGATCAGAGAACCGACGTTTGCCAAAAGAAAAACCATCACAAGTAATGACGCGAAGGCAAGCGAATTCAGATTCCTAGACAAGTAGAACAATGGCTTCAAGAAACATTCATAGCCAAGAAATGAAACTATCTTTTGTAAACTTTACCATCGTTACCTACAGTAAGTATTTGAAAACAGGTCAATTCTAGGAAGAAAGAAATAAAAATTTGCGATGAACTCCAGCTGACCCTAAAGTGCGGTTCATAATTATACGAACACCCAAAATTTTGTAAGTTTTTAGACTTTTTGGGCGAAACTCAAAAAGCCGTTGGTACCACGCGAAAGAGCACAGCCGAAAACGGTATATGATCCATAAGAATGGAAATTGATGTAAATCTTAGAAGTGTTTTTGCGCCTAATGCAAATTTTTAGCGGTTCATAATTATACGAACACCTCAAACAAAGGTCCATTTTTCATTCAAGTTTGCAGTCATTTGAGTCCAAATTTTTTTGGAGAGTTACAGTAACAAAGTCTGACATATATGCTACACAATGAACCCAGTGCAGTTCAAAAAGAGGACCGTTACTTTTTTCAGAAGGCTCTATATGCTTTTGGAGTGATTGCGCTCCAAAAACATCCGTTCTTCTGTAGTTTACGCGCTCTGATTAGCTTCTACCAAAGCTATGAGATAAAATAAGCTCTTTCGATAGGTATTTTGTTTGAGGCTTGGAAAATCTTTGCGTTTTCGTGTCGTTTTTCAACCAAGTTCCAACCTTACCACAGAGTTAGCATGATTTTGAGCCTCAAAACTCAGCTTCTCTCTTGCGCAAACATTTGATATGAAGCCGCTGCATTGTTTGCGTGATGATGTTTCTGTGCCAAAGTTCTTAGGTTTTTTGTAGAACTGATCTTGAGGCTATGGAGCTAAAAAACTAAATAAAGGTATGACTGCAATAGTAAAAACAGTGTTTTTGGTGAAATGACGCCTGCGTGGCCAAAACAAACTCTCAGCGTTGCTGATTTTTTATAATCAAATATGCAGTCTTGTGAACTTCCACATACTATGTGCTTACTTCATTGTACGGCTTCAGAAGCTGAGTTTTGAGGCTTAAAATCGTGCTAACTCTGCGGTAAGGTTGGAACTTGGTTGAAAAACGACACGAAAACGCAAAGATTTTCCAAGCGTCAAACAAAATACCTATCGAAAGAGCTTATTTTATCTCATAGCTTTGGTAGAAGCTAATCAGAGCGCGTAAACTACAGAAGAACGGATGCTTTTGGAGCGCAATCACTCCAAAAGCATATAGAACCTTCTGAAAAAAGTAACGGTCTTCTTTTTGAACTGCACTGGGTTCATTGTGTAGCAGATATGTCAGACTTTGTTACTGTAACTCTCCAAAAAAATTTGGACTCAAATGACTGCAAACTTGATTAAAAAATGGACCTTTGTTTGAGGTGTTCGTATAATTATGAACCGCTAAAAATTTGCATTAGGCGCAAAAACACTTCTAAGATTTACATCATTTTCCATTCTTATGGATCATATACCGTTTTCAGCTGTGCTCTTTCGCGTGGTACCAACGGCTTTTTGAGTTTCTGTCAAAAAGTCCAAGAACTTCCAAAATTTGGGGTGTTCGTATAATTATGAACCGCACTTTATATCAATGCCCACGTGCGATTCCTACACTGAGCTCGGCGTTTCTAAAACTTGTTCTTTAGTGGTGCGATTATCGAGAGAGCATCAACGCTCACTACAACAATGTTTACGCAACCATTATAAAACCATACGTGCGAAAAGTGCATGTTTTTCCGAGTCTGGCAACAAAGACGACTTGCGAACTTGACAGACGGTGAAGAAGTCTGGTAAATGATGAGATGTGAATGATGTTCTTTGAAAAGAACTGCATTCTATACAAGGTACCCCCTCAGAGAGCCGAACAGTCTTTTAAGAGTACGACGAGAACTTGACCTGTTCACAGGGAATTTTCTCCTTTTTATCTGAATTATGTATAGGAGTTACCACTTTTATTGCTCTATAACAAACTGAATGGATGTAATTAGGGTTAGATGACTCATCTGCAAGGTAAGATAGGTCCCTCCTAAATGATTTCTGATTCAGAAAAGTTGTTCATGATCACCCCCATAGTGATTTTTGAATAGAGTGCAGGAGCAGTTCCAAGTCGCTATGGGATCGATCATACCTCGTCGCCGCGCGATTTCTAATTGCTATGATTGTTCAAAATCTTCTTTAGGCGCATACTCTGTAAGCAAGATTTGGCATGTACGCATAAACTTACAAAAGCTATGCGCCTACGCACTTATATTTTAAACGCGGCAGATTTGCGGACATCTGGCAAACTGCCATATCGCGTAACGCCGCGATTTTGGAAAAATCGCGCGAGGTATATTCGAGGCCTATAACTACGTAAGCTGTCGCTAACTGCTTTTCTTTTAGCAAAACTTTCAGACAATGCTCAAGAGCTAAGGGATAAGAAACATGTAGAGTTTCATAAAAGCTAAATTATCTCAGAACAATGTATAGCTCATGCAATCTTCCCCCTTTGCCACTGCTTTCGAAGCTGTTCATTCCTCTGAGCAGTAAACGTGAATAAAAGTCAAGCAAGTAAACAAACGAAGATGGAAGTCCACTAGAATCACAATAGACATTACAAAATTGATACCCAAGTTACGAAAAAGCCTACAGAAGACTTTCTAATAAAGGCATTTTGAACTGCGAACTGAAGAAGATTCAAAGAAGCGATTATTGAGAGGACGAACCAGAAGACTTTCATTTTGGAAAATCTCACGCTTTCTCTTCGTTCCCGCAAAAAAATTGCGAGAAAAAAAACTGTAGCAGAGGTATAAACTCTATTGTGGAATACTGGTGAGCAAAAAATTCATTTTTTCTGACAACCTTAATGGAAACCCAAAATTTGATGTATAGAATCACCGAAAACTGAATGAAAAACTTGAAATTTTGAAGCCGGTTTTTATTCCTTTTGCACTGCTGCGATCTTATGATTTTTTTTACGGTTGATAGATTGTCGTCTAGAACATGACAAGGGAATGAAGATCAGGTTGCCGACAGTGCATGTGTAAAAAACTTGAGCGAACTAGAGTATTGAGACCAATGGTTCAAAAAATGTCTTTATATCATACCCAGCTTTCTTCTGAACTATGACGGATGAATTGCACATCATGGATACGGAGTAAACATACATCATGTATGTAAATACAAGCATCAAGATACTCACATTTTGATGCGTCGCATTTTGTCGATGGTCGCTCGTAGTGGAGAATCGCGCTTCCCCGGAAGAACGTCTACAAAAGATAAGATCGTAAAATAACAACGCACAAGTTCAGCGCAGAGAGAAAAGACCGTGTGAACATTTAACGGCACGAAGGAGAGAATAATTGGCACAAAAATGGCATAGAAGTAGCCTTTCTTGGAAAATAAGAACAGCACAGCAATGGGATTTTCCTTCATCTTTGGCAAGCTATGCACAGATACTAGAACTTCCGATATTTACTTTGATCAAACTCAGAAGAAAAGTTCTGATCTCAAGCATTGTATGCTTATTCACTCTCAGAGGAAGCCCTCCCAAGAGAGTGGTTTATTCAGCATAAGTGCCGCATGATTTATTATAATCCATACCTGTTAGCCTTTGACGTAGAACTTGAAAAAAGGACCGCAAAAACATAATCAATTACGAGCGACCAACTAAAAAGTAGTACTTTGACTTATACGCATTTCCAGCAAAGTAATAATAATGTAGATAATTCAAGCACAGTTTACAGGTGGATGAACTACCACTATGCTTTCCAGAGCTAGTTTGAACGCGAAACAGTAACGTTACATTAGGTTGGCGTTAAATAAACGTGCGTATTCTAGTCCCTTTCTAGGCCCCTTTACTCTCGAACTTTTTGCAAAAGGTTCTGCATACTAATTGAAAGTTTCTTTTTATAGACTTTCTCACCTAGTTCAAGCAGGTTTCTGCCTCGTCTATTAGAATTTTACTGAACTCCCACCAGTAGTACGACTAATAGCAACTTGCACTTACTTTGCTAGCCAGAATCCGAGTGCAAACGATTACAACTTTAAAGACAAAGCTACTGTATGCCACAGGTATTGCTATTTGCACATTCAATCATATTTCTCGAAATCGACCTCTCCTTAAAAAGCGGATAATCGCTGCGGGCATTCTATGACCTCAAAAAAATTTTTCTGAAGAAGGAAATCGCAGCCTTGTTCAATTCTGAAAGCCTGGGAGCGCTTGGGACATACCACTAACACCTTTTCTTGTGAAAAAAAACTTGGCTGTTTGGTTTTCGAGGAATTGAAAATTCTCCAATTTCGAAATTTTGGATAACAAGTAGAGAATTGACAACTATACTTTTTTTCGCTTTTTATTCCCAGAGGTTTATCGTCCTTTCTCTCCGCTGTTCTATTATTTTGCAGCTCCAAAGCGAACCATTACCGGCCATACTACAAAAAGTGTAAGGAAGTTATGAGTTAAAAAAAGCGAGATTTCAAAAAAGAAAAAAGTTCTGTTTTTCGATGCGTGGGTTCTGCTTATCAGTGGCGGTCCCAGGATTTTCTGTGTCCGGTGGGGGGCAAAATTTTTTTCAAATAAAGGTGCGTGGCGTTAGCCACGCACTCCGAAAACTTTTTTGGGTGCTTCCCCAAAATTTCTGCTGGCCCATAACCCTAAAATCCAGAAAAAGGGGGCGTGGCGGCAGCCCCCTGAAAAAATTCTTTTTACAAGGCTAATTTGAATTTTTAAAAAATTTTAAAAATTATTTTAATTATTTTCAAAAATAACAAATCACTTGCTCATTTTTATAACCCATGTAAATAAATATCGAAATTTTCGCGACCCATTCTTGAGGGGAGGACGCCCCCCCCCCTCCACTGCTGCTTAAAATATCATAAATGCGAGTGTGCGCTAAGTTGCAAAGGATACTGCATGTGTGGGTTTCTATACTAAAAACCTAGAATTTCAAAAATTCAAACTTCTCAAGTTGACAATTCGCAAAACGGACATTAATTTTGCGACAAAGTAACGGAAATACAAACAGAGCACTTGTTGCTTCTTCTTTCATTTAGAGATTGCTATAATTGTTGCTTGGCTCAGAGCAACTTTAGTTGGTTACTTTAGTGCAAAGCTTATTGTTGCATATGTTGTTGTGTTTGCGTAGGCGTGGCCTCATATTTCGGTGTCAACTCCAATGTTGCTTAGTGCTGAGCAACTTCTTGTCCTGTTGCATTGCATGATAGACACGCATGTTGTAGTCATCGAATTTTATTCTGCCTAAGTGCGAAGCGACTCTAGTGTTGCTGCGAAATCGCATTTCGTTCGTGCAACATCGTTATTGGTGCACAGCAACACCAAAACTTGTTAATGCTTTAGTGTGTAGCAACCAAAACAAACAAGTAAGGTGCAAATTAACACCAAAACTCATTGTCTTAGTGTGTAGCATCACCAAAACAACCATAGGAAAAAGCATTTCAACGTAAATGTAACGCACATTTTATGTTTTCGCTTCTCATTTTTCTTTCAAAGTTTAAAGTTTCAGAAGATGCTTTGCTTATGCGCTGCTATTGAAATTTGAAAACGTATCAAAATGGTTTTTATTCACACCGTGATAATGCTTAAGACTCCAGCGAAATTATTGCAGCAGTGTGCGAAATACAACCGATATTTGATGAGACAACGATTCCTTAAAAACAAATGGATCATTACCGAAAAAGCCATAGCAACATATAGGTCGATCTTCGAGCTAACTGAGAGGCATAGCTGTCTCTTCTATAATATAGGTTCAATGGGACTCCAAGCATTTTTACTTGATTTTTGCTCTTGTGATTGAGGTTGCATTAAAGAAATGGAAACTGATAGCCGCCAAATGGAGCTTTCTTGAGCTTATGCTAATAAGATAAAATTCAGCTGTGTAATTCTTTCTCTCCCATTGCTATTTCGAACTTATTGTCGCATATGTCCTCAAAATATTATGATTTTTACATTGCTCTAGGAGAGAGCCACATGATTTCAATAACATATGTAGTTTGCAGCAACTCTGCTTTGCAAGTCTATTTAAACGGATACACTCATCTGCTTCCCTCACTACCATGAAAAAGAGTACTCGTTTATGGATTCTGTATAAGAAATGAGAAAATTATATCAAACGTAAATCGGTTGCAGTTCAAGCGAAAATCTTGCGACAAGGTGGTAAACACAGCGGTCAATGGGCCAACAGCTGTACGATGAAACGAATGTCAGTTTTTTTGCATCAAGAATGAAGTGACAGAAAATTTGTCAGACATCTTTCGACACCTGTAGACTTTCTCAAAGCTCAAACCTTTGGCAAACACGCGACAGATCTGTAAATGAAAGATTTGCCGAAGAGTCTTTATTATGCGGAAATCCGCCCACACTGTGATTTGGGTTTGAGTGGTTTTGACTAAGAGCTACGAAGGTTTTGATTGATAGTTACGAAAAATGGACTTCTGCAAATAGTGCGGTTTCCAGTGAGCTAGAGTAAATAGTTCAATTCAGGAGTACGATGTGTTGAATATCATGCGGATGCTAGACACACTTAGCAAAGGCTTCTAAGGGTGCAGTTAAAATGAAGCTGTTTGATAGCTCGCACAGATCGACCTGATTTGGATTTGAAGCAGATATTTTAAGCAAAGAATTAAACAGAAGAAAATTAGAACAGAAACAAACAAATGTTGAAACAGCGATATTCTGTCTAGGCCAACTTACTAACAGGGTCAAAAGAGCAAATACCTAGATTCTTGATGTTTGAGATGATTAGACTATTAGATAGCGATCCCTAGGGAGTTGCACCCTACCTTTGTCAAAGCGGATTAAACACTAAATTCACTGGAAAAGTTACGGTAAACCTACGTCTGTGACACCTGCCAATGGGAGGATCGTATAAGTCAGTAGAAATTGACGACTGCCAGCTGTTTTGAAAAAAAAAGCTCAAACGGTTATTGCGCTTTCGGAAGTTTCTCCATATGTTTGAGATAATGCTTAAGCTGAACATTACAGCATCACATTCCAAACAAGTTGCTCGTTCTACGATGCAGTGGGTGAAAAACTAAGGATAGAACAGCTGACGTCTTTAGCGACAAATTACCAACATGAACTCCGTGGTTGAATGGTCGCAAAAAAGTCGCAAGGTCTCGTTAGCGACAATTCGATAAACTTTCGCATATGCGAATTGTTCTGGAAGAAATCGGTCCTTGGGGATGATAAACGAAGAACGTTAGACCAGGAATCCTTGGTGTTTTTGTTTGATATGCCTCGTAAAAAACACTATTCTTCTGCCACAAGGTATTGGTAAGACGTGTGAAGGTATCATAATCAAATTTTAATCAAATTTTAGCAACACCGCACAGTATTTAAGTATAGAACAGTCCAAATATGTTAGCTTGCTGTCTTCTTGATAGCCGCTGTCGCCACCGAGAAAAAACCTCCGAAGGTAATCCATTAATCCAAATTACAATTAGTCAGCAATAGCTGCGCTAATAAGACATCAAAGACCCTCATGAAAAAGACGAAGGGAATGTTATGAGAGTTTGGGAGTCGACTACGAGAAAAACTGGAGCTTATGGTGACAGACGGCAGCAGTTTGGAACACTGGTAAATTGAAGCTGTTATGAATGACATAGCAGCTGCTTGAGAGAGCAGATCTTCTGGACAATAAACTACGAGCTCAGAGGATAATTTGAGAGATCAAAGATAAAGTTACAAAATTAATAACTCAAAAACATGCCCATGCCTTTCATGACGCAATCACATATTGAAAGAAATGAAATATGAACATAAAAAATGTAGTTACAAGTGGAGTTGCGCGCTTGACGATTCAAATTTCGTATCTCAAACAAAGCTAGAAACTATCACGAATGGAAAATTCATCCAGTGCCATTCACGTAAAAAAATTGTAGTCGTTAAAGAACGAATAGTGACGAGCGTTGAAGTTCCATTGATATCAAAAAGTAGAATCGTCAAAGATTCCGCTTTGAGATAAGTTGCTTGCACCTTTATTTTCGCGAGGATGGAAAAAGCAACAAAGCCCGAAGTGAAGCAGGGACTTGGTGGGAAAACTTCGAAAATGTAAAAGAAAACACTTTAGAAAAGGACCGCATTTTTGGAAGCGGGCGAGTTTAGGAAGATTCTCTTTTGAGAGAACCGAAATTTCGATATCACTTAAAGATTCAGCAAGTTGAAAATGCGAAGAGTTAAAACCAACTAGAGGAAAATTAGGAAAATAGCGAAGTCTGGTAAATAAATGAATTATATTTAACGATTGTGCAATCAGCAATGTGTTTATGCGTAATTATACTAACAAAAGCATGGCTATGACGCGAAATACTTTATACTACGAGAACTCTGGAGAGATGGTATCTTCAATTTTAATTTTTTTCTAATTTTATAAATAGTTAGCTAGCTCCTAAATGTACTTCATGTTTGCAGACAC